AAAAAAATATTACCAGCTATACATACCTGAAAAAATTACCAGCTACAGATTTTTGAAAAAAAAAAGGAAATTTTGTCGGCATTAAATAACCCATTGTGGTTGATATGCTGTAAAACAAACCAAACCAAACCAAACTACATCTCTGTTGCCTCAAGTTACCTCTTCATTTGTGAGGAAATTATCCAGTATCATTTGAGAGAACCCTTTTTACTTTCCATCAGCATTTACGAGAGTGACTCATTGCACCTTCTCGAACTAACATTTTTTGCTGATATGAAGTGGACAGATTACATGGAATCAATTGCTAAATCTACTGGTAGAAAAGTTGGTTCCCGGTGTCATACTAGACAATTTTGCTTGCCAGAATCTATCTTACATATTTATAAGTCTATCATTTGTCCAGGCTTTGAATGTTGCTGCCACATATGGTCTGGTGCTACTGCTGTGTATTTAGAGATTTTTGATAAAATCTAAAGAATCTGTAATATTATTGGTCCTGACCTGGCATCTCAGCTTCAGTCACTTTCCCACTGCCATAATATAGCTTCCCTGTGCCTTTTCTATAAATACTTTCATGGTACCTAGACTTTATGAATTTAACTACAGTGCTAGATTGGTGGCAAATTCTCATTTTACAGGTTAAATGGCTACATGTAACCGTAAATTCTATGCTAACAGTTTCTTCTCTTCACTATTTCCATCCTGGGTATGATGATAAACTACATCTGCATCCTGGGTAAGATGATAAACTATGTCCAGCAGCAAGGCCTCTGATCAGGAGGTTTTGAGGAGCATGGAACTACCTCTTAATTGCTGGAGTTCCCAGGTCCACCCTGACCCAGGGTGGTAGCCCCTGTTAGAAACTGGGGTAAAAACACTATGAAAGCGTAAAATAGGTTTTAATACCAGAAATACTTTGTAAAAAATTATTACAAGCAATACATTTTTGAAAAAAAAAAATATTACCAACAATGTTTTTAAAAAAAATAAATATTACTAACCATACATTTTTGAAGGAAAAATATTACCAGAAGTAGATTTTTGACAAAACAAAATATTACCAGCAATAAAAATTTTGTCGGCATTAAATAACCCATTGAGGTTGATATACTGTAAAACAAACCAAACCAAACCAAACTTACACTTTTTGCTTGTGGAACTCACTTCCGGCTTCTTGCTTTTTAGATCTTCAAAAATTTAGATGCAGTATCAATCGTTATCTTCTGTCTTCTTAATTCTTATTAATAATTCTTTTTATTATTCTCTCCTCTTAATAGTATTTTTTCTTGTATTCTTTAACACTCAGTAACCCCCTTGCATCCTAGTGGCTTTATTGCCTTGCTTGGGGTGAAATGATTAAAACAAAATCTTTTGCTATTCCAATACACCTTTGGAATTTGCTGCCACATTTCCTGTCATTTGTCAAGACTTCCCAAATATTTATTTAAATTTTTGTATTTGCTTGATTTTGACATCTCCAATGTGTACTTCACATCCTGGGCTGTCCGTCTTCCTTACAATGATATATTCTGGTTTCTTACAATTGATGGATAGTCCTTTCTTCACTCTTTCATTTTCTACCTCTTTTTTTTTCCTAGCACTTCCAGCAGTTGTCATTCTGTGTCTGCTATCAGAATCAGTTCGTTTCTTCTTCCCTCTGGCTCCTATGGACAATTGAAGGAGTCCAGAATCTGATGGTCATAATCCCATTCAGAATATGAGAGAGTTATTCAACAACCATAAAAATATTTCTCTATGAAATTTTGGCTTTGTTTACTTTTAAGTCTGGTATATCAGAATAAGTAATAAAACTGATTTTTTTTTTTTCAATGTCTTTTTGACATCCTTTAAAAAAGACGAGGCAAGTGAGGATAGATGCCTGAAAATTGTATATTCTACATTAATTTATATGAACAAGAGTTCATCCAATACAAGACTCAAGAGCCACTGAAGGTAGAGTGTTGCTGAATGAGGTGCGTGATATGAATGTAAGAGGAGGTAGAGGAAAGTGAAGACTATGAGGATAAGGAGGATAGATAATGATTAACTTTTGAAGAGATTAAGATTGTAGTGTTCAGGGAAGCTTCAACACAGGAGTTTGTTCCGCAAAATAGAGATAACTTGGGAGAAAGTTGTCTGAGTGAAACTTCCTCCTTACAATTGGAATATGGAGGAAATGTAGGTGATTTGACACTGGATGTAGCCTAGGTGCGAAAGTTGGAACTAGTGAAACTAATGTATGAATCTTGTCCGACTTTAGCTATGGAAATATCAAAGAAAGTTATTTTGTTAAACTTTTTTTTTCTTTTCTAAATGTTCCTCAGATTGTCTTTTTAGTTTTTTCATTCAGTTTCGTTTGTACTTAAGCCTTATCTGTTTTTAACGTCATCTAAAACTTTTCTATTTTAAATCTTCCAGCCTATTTCAATGAGAATGGCATGACTCACAATTTTCAGTTATAATATTCTTAGAAGACAAAATAGTAATATAGATAATAAATGTTTATTATTAGAAAACCATCTATTATTGAGGTCTGCGAATGCTAGACAATCTGATCACAGATAAAGAAGTGACTTGAGGCAGCAGAAATGTGGCTCTGCAGAATGATGCTGAGAATACTATGGGCTGAACACATGAGCAACGATAAAGTTTCAGGGGAAATGGAAACAGAAAGGATGCTTATATATAGACAATTGAAATTTTTAGGGTATATAATGTGGAAAGTGGGCTTAGAAAATTTGATACTCACAAGACATACTAAAAGCAAGAGTGACAGAAGAAAGCAGTGTATTACCTACCTAACAAGGTTGTATAAGCAGTTGGCAGAACAGGGATTAAGAGAGATCATGTAAAGAAAACATTTCCTAAAGGCTGCAAAACCAAGAAATAGTAGAGAGCCATGATTGCCCACATCTTGAAGGAACACAGCACATAGAAGATGAAGAAGAATGTATTTGTGTAAATGGTTGACAAAACAGGGATTTAGAGATATAACAAAAAGACTCAATTTACTAAGGACAACAAAGGACAGGAAATTGTGGAGAGCCATGATCTCTCATGTCCTGAAGGGACACTGCACGTAAAAGATCATACATTGATGCGAATGTACATATGAATAGTTTAATATTCAAACTACGATGGTAATTAAAAAATTATCCACATTTTTGCCATAACCTAACTTTAGACAAAAGTGCGGATAATTTTTAACTTTCCCTTCTAATAATTTACACTAACTGATTGGCTTACATCACATTGATAATTCACTCTGTGCCAGCACTTTTTCATATGCTTGTTTTAAGTGTTTCTTGGTCTTTCTCCACTTAAAGATTCTTGAATATCTTTTTATCAGGTCATCCCATAAGTTTTGGTTCAAATGGTTTTGATCAACTGAAGCTTGTAGGTCTTAGTGAAGAGCATACTTTTTTGAACCTCATGGACTGGCTTTACAGAATCACAAAAAAACTGTACCAAATAACAGAAACCACATCACTTGACTTTCAACAGCAGCAACAATTAAAATGGATAGCACATATAACACAAAGAGAAAATAATGACATAATCAAAATGTTGACATTCCACATGACTTCAAATAAAAGGTTAGGAAGGACCCCCCAACTCCATCAATATTGGTTCAAAATCAGTACTGGAAAGAGTTATAACGGTCGACTTGAGTACCTATTTTCTTATTTGTTATAAATTTCAACCAAAAGTGACGCTATCTGCTTGGGTCAAAGAATGCTGAATGTTTCCTTATAAGGAAATGGCTAATATCACTATTAACATAACAAATGTATAGTCTTGTTAATTAACTTTTTATCACTCTAAAATAATGTGATTATTTTTTTTTTTTTTTTTTTTTTTTTTTTTTTTTTCATTTCACCCCAAGCAAGGCAGTAAAGCCACTAAGACACAAGATATTATTGAGTGTGGGAGAATATGAGAAAAAAAAAACATTATTAATACAAAGGAACAGGAATTAAGAAGACAGGGGATAATGATTGAAATTTACATTTTGAAGATCAAAGTTGATTCAAGAAACCAGAAGAGATTTCCACAAGCAAGAAATGTGAGAGAGAGGAAAACTGTTAGCCAAGAACTTATGGTTACATCTAACCATTTCAACTGTAAAATGACAAGACCTTGTTGCTAATCTAGTACTGCATTTAAATTCATAAATTTTAGGTACCATAGACAAAAGCAATATTTATTTAGAAAAATACAAAAATGGGACACAAGGCCAAAAGGGTGGGGGGGGAGATAGGAGAAAGCTGGTCTTTAATCTGTCTTATCTTAAACTTAGCTAGCCATGATTACTGATGCAAATATATCACAGTATTCCTTACACTGAAACAACACATTCTTACCATTCTTACTACAGCCACCATAGTACCTCAGAGTCTCTGTACTTTTAACTAGTTCCTATATGTACAATTTCTCTATGAGGAGTAGGGAATAAAACTAACGACATTTAAATATGAATACTGTAGAGCAGCACTTAAAGTTTTTTTCATTCATGACCCCATTTTTCATCACAAGACTTTTCATGACTCCCAGGTATTAACCAACTACACTGAAACTACGTACATTGTCACTACACTAGTTTTAATGGTGCTGCATATGTGTTTTATTACTGCAGTGCTTGCATGGCGCATCACGTTAAATATTGTACATTTGTGAAATAACATGTAAACTGAAATTCAAGTGTTTGAATTTAATTCTCACAACCCCAGCATTTCGCTTTGCGACCCCATTTAGGGTCACAACCCATAGTTTAAGAAGTGCTGTCATAGAGGAAAGCTCATCTGAATAATTACTATGAAAACATTTATAGAAAATGCATAGATAACCTGTCTCAGTATATTTCAATAAATCCTATTTTATTTTACTGAGCTTAAAGAGAAGATAACGGAATTGAAGGTTTAGGAATTTAACGAAATGCTATTTCTTGTGTGCAGCAGTCTCCAAGAGTTGAATTTTTTCTTTTTTTTTTTTTCTGCCAGGATGTGGATGAGATAAAGAGCGGTGTCGACTGGCAGGATTCTCTGAATGAAGCAGTCACAAAGTGTGAAGTTTTTATCCCCCTTCTGACGCCACGTTATGGTCAAACACGCTGGACTAACCGTGAAGTAAGTTTTTTTTTTTTTTTTTTTTTTTCAGCATTTATGCATGCACATATCATCTTACTAGAAAAGTTAATTGTTTTAGTTTTCTACTTTGTTTTGTTTTGTTTTTTTTAGTGGCTATATCTCTTTGAGTTGTTATCCCTGTTTTTTTTATTATTATTTTCTTAAACAGTGAAAAATAACAACCGGCCGAGATTGAGAAGTTCTGCTCAAGAAAGATTGTACCTCAGACAGGAATCAAACCTGTAGCCCCTTTTCCATCAGCGAAATCACTACTATAGTTGAATTGTGCCTTTACCAATTCACCCATGAAGGCCACACTGATAGCACAAGATTCAAATTGCCTATTTAAGGAATGCGCATTTCTCATTGTAGTTTTCAGCTACAGAAGTGGTTTCACTGACAAGTTCGGAGACATAGTCTTTCTTTAGTAGGACTTTTCAATCTAGGCCAGCTAGAATTAATGAATTTTATTTTTCTTCATTCCATTTCTTTTCCACTTGAGAAAACTTAATAAAGAAAATACTTTAAAGTAAAAAAAAATTAACCTTGCTTTATCATGACACTCTTTGTGTCTGAGCGATAAAAGCATGCTGGAGCAGATAGTGGTTTCTCCTGTAAAGGAGGATGCAAGTTTGAATCCTGCTGGAGGGTACATTTTCTTAAGTTTTCTTGGGTACACAGGCTGGTAGAGGAAAAAAATTCCTGTTTAAAAGAAACGGAATGTCTACGCAAATATGTATAGCCGCTAAAAATAACTCTTGAAGTAATAAAAATATGTTGGATTAAAAATATAAAATACATTAATTTCTTAGAAAATATCTATTTCATGTATGATTTCAGGTAAAACTTGCTGATGTTCTGGGAAAGTTTATTCTGCCTATAAACCTCCAAAATGAGTGGCCACCAAGTTGCTTGGCCATACAACTGGCTACGACTCAATATATTGATGGTTTCAAGATTTCTGAGGGTAGGTATACCCCCACATTTTGTTGTTTTTCCTTTTTTAATGCTTCAAAATTTTGGCACTCCTTGAATTGACTGATCTAAGAAAAAAAAAAATCTTATTTTATGTTTGTAAAATCCAAACAATATTAAAGCGAATTTGTATAATGCTCATACTTCTGGTTAATAACTATCTCATCACCCCACCCTAGTTATGGTAGACTAGGCCCGGGCATTGGGTGACTGGCTCTCTTGGAGAGGGACTGCAATGAATTCAGAATCGTAGAGAAGGTGATGAGAAATTACTCATAAACAATAATTTGGCTCAAACATTATTAATCAAGCAACATTATTAATCAAAGTAAGCACCATTAGAATTGACAAAATGTTGCTAAAGATCCAGCAGTGAATTTATTACATCCCATTAAAAAGTGGGGTCACTGGAAATTTTTTATCTGCTCTGTATTTGTGTACACCTGCTGAAACGGAAAAAGTATTAATCGGTAGAGGACAGGTCCGTTGAACAGGAAAACTGGGGAAGGTGTTCAGTGACTAACAACATCAGTGGTTGTTGAGTGGTTTTGTTTTTAAGTTTGATGACTTGCGTTATCCTACAGCAATATGGGTAGTACCTCGACGTGGTGCAATAGTTAGAAAGCTTGTCTTGTTAGATCAATTACGACTGAGTAGTGAATACGATCCTCACTGGGTGCCCCATAGTATCGGCTTTGTCCCACATCTAAGCTGTGCTTAGAAAATCACTATCCTACAGCAAGATACGCTCCTGCTCCTCTTTCTGCAATCTATTCACACAAGCTGGTCAGGTAAGTGGCTCGCTGCCTTTCCCTATCTCTCTTACTCCCAATATAACCCATGAGGGTTATGTTTACCAATCCCTCTTTCCTCATTAGGTGTCCAAGGAATTTATTTCTCCAAAAATCCTATATTTAAATATTGGTTGTTTATGGCATGAAAAGTTTTCATTTTAAAACCAATCACCTTCCCCTCAGAATGATAGAACTTTTAGGTAAAAAAAAAATGGGTGGTAGCACCTGTTAGGGCCCCAGCTATAGGCAAATAGTGAACCTGCAAACAAAAATCAACTGTACTTTTTTATAATAAAATCAACAATATATTTTTGTTGTAGAATTCCCAACAATACATATTTTTACCAAAATGATGATCAATACAACACTAAAAAAGTATAAAAGATACATTCTTATAGTAAATTTACCTACATTTTTGTAGTCAAATTGCCAACAATGCATTTTATTTTTTTTTACAAAAAATTACCAACAATACATTTTATCATCCACATACTATATATCTAAAAACATGTCTACTCTGAAAATATAAAATTATGTACAAAATAACTAGTTGAAGCCATAAAATTGTGTATATAAAATTGCATAGCTGAAACCATAAAACTTCATACATAATATTTAGATTTTGGCATTAAAAAACCCATACAGGTGTTGATATGCCACTAAACAAAATCAATCAACCAACTAACCAACCAACAATGAAGAATTGACTACTATTAATAAAATTTTTTTTTTAAAAAAATGTTAACCTCTGAAGTTGATCCAATTTATTTGTTCTTTATTTGTTGTATTTTTTTTTTTTCCCCATTGATCTTCTCATAAAAAAAAAAAAAACCCTTTTCACTACTTTTTGATAACTTTTACTTCTTCTTTAGCCTGTAAGTCTCCTCATCACTCTGTACAGAATTTAAGTCCCAAACCCGACGGTCTTCCAGTTAATGTAAAATTGATTGCTAAGGAGATTCACAAGTGTTTGAAGTCTTTAAATGAAAACAGACCGCATTCTCTGGAACGGAAACCATCTTTATTTCGACGGGTATGTTTTAAATTTTTTCAGATTTGTTTTTTTTTTAGTTTTATATTAATCAATTGTGGATATTGAATGAGACCAAACTATTTTACAATTCTTAATTATGCTGGTAGGTCAATGGTTTTAACACTTAGCCAAAAAGTTTGTAATAATTTTATTTTTTCAGTAATGATTATGATAATTTGAATGACCTTATCCAATTTATACTCCAGATCTCATTTTATAAATTATTTTAAATGACATCAGATGAGGTCTAATAATGTTTTTTTTCTTTATCCATAGCCAGTGTTACATGTGGGTTACAGCAGGTTAAAAATGTTAGCCAAAAAGATACATAGATTTAAGAAATCAATGCTACAAAAACAGATTGGTATAAAGAGAGGAATGACAACTAGTTGGCTTCTTCAAATATTCTTTTTATCCTCCATTTTCTTTTTGTTAATATGTATTTTCTTTTTTGAATTGCCATTTATGAGGATTACATTTTGATCTCTACTCATTTTCCTCTCTTTTTTAATGAATATGTCAGTTTTTATAGCATTAATTAAATTTTGTACTGTGAATAAGATCTTACAGATCTCAGATATTTGACTTGGCTTAGAAATTTAGAAAAAAAATAGCCAGTCTCTAGATAAAAAAATCTTATTAACACTTGATGGTTTTCTGTCAGCTGGTGAACCCAATCTTATGGGACTTGAGGTGTGTGTCGTCTACTATCACATTGCCAATTCTTCTTGAAGGAATTTAAATTTTAGAAATTAAAAAAAAAAATTTGGCCAGTCTCTAGATAAAAAAAATCTCATTAACTCATGGTTTTCTAGTACTTGTATCAGTAAATCATTATTATCTCCAAAACAATCCTTACAAATTAAAATATTTTCTGGCTTTAAATAACCTGTGAAAGGTTGATAATTAATAAAAATCAGTCAACTCAGTCAATCACTTCTGTATCTTTTTTAGACATCGAAGATCAACAACTGCCCGATGAATGCTGTTCAATTCCAGAACTTTTATGGAGAAGGTCCTTCCACATATAACCAGAAAACGCTTATAGTTGTTAGTCTTCACCAAGAACAATATGCTTTTGTAAGTATCAGTGTTCAAATAATTTCTGAAATAGATATACATAAATTACAGGCAGACATTCTTGAGCACTAACTACATGAACTAAATTTAATATTGTTCTTGTTTTAAGAAATTGTCTCAAACTTTGACATTGTACTTATTGGTTCTTGTATTTTGTATCAACATTTTGCAAGTATTTTCTCCTTTCATAAACATTACCTTATTTACATTATTTATACTTGAACTAATGTTCTCATATTTGTTGATATTATCCCAATAATTTAGCCGTTGTGCTCTCCAGCCTTCCTCAGGTGTCAGTACTAAAAACATGAACAAGATATCCCAAGATATGGATGGAAGAAGGAAAACAATCTGCTCCTGTAGATTGAATAAAGGGCTCAGTTTGAAATTCGCAGAAGATTACTAGAATCAACCTGAAGAAGTCAGGAGGGCACAATGACCGAAAGTTTGTGATGACAGCAAAAATGAGGATTTTAGTCATAATGTAAATAATATCAAATCTTCATCCCATAATTTCAGACATCTTTTTTTTTTTTTTTTTCAAATCAGATTTTTTTTTCAAATCAGATTTTTTTTTCAAATAAGATTTTTATTTATTTATTTTTTTTCTAATCAGATTCAGTTTATATTTGTTTGAAACTTCTTTATGTATCTGAAGTCTTCCTATTTTCATTATTATCCATTCTGATAATTTTTTCAGGGTTGCCAAATAAAACAATGGCTGCAAGAAGACGGCTTTAATATATGGCTGACAACAGAACTTGACTCCAGTAAGAGATTTGAATTATTTTATTTTGTAACAATACAAGTACCTCCTAATATTTATTCCTGTAATATGTTTACTTTCTTACATCACCATGGTGTAATGGTATGGTATGCTAGACTGGCAGACTATTGTGAATGTTGAGATCTTTGGTCACTAGGTGCCCTACATTTGAAGCTTTCAAACAGATTAATCTTAGTAAATACCAATAAAGATAACAATTGTTACACTATCAACTTTTATTTTTCCCTTTTTTAAAAATACAATTATTCTCAGAATTGCTCTGTAGGTGTGGTTTAAAATTAGCTGACTGCATCCCCTGCGGACAGGTAAGAATGCCCACCAAAAATCTGGCCACCTTCTGGTAAAAACTGGACTTATTTCTGCTTTTTGACTATACTGTAAAACTGCACCCATATCTATCTTTTTCATCTTTATTTCTATTTATTTATTTTACTGTCTCTTGCTGAGTACAAGGCCTAAGGGCCACTCAAGGTAGAGAGTTAATAAAGGAGGTTGGTGCTAAGAAATCAAAGCAGCAGAAGGTAAGATAAGGCTGCATGTAAATATAGAAACTTGCATTGTGCTTTCTTTTATCATTCTCTTTTTGTAAATCATTTCACACCAAGCAAGGTAATAATGCCACTAAGACACAAGGTGTCTTAGTAAGATAAAAAAATGCAGCTGAGGAAAAAGTTCAATAAAAGAAAAGGTTTTAAGACGATAGAAGATTGTGATTCTCGTTGCGTTTAAATTTTTGAAGATCGTAGGTGACAAGAAAGCAAGAAACTGGAAGAGAGTTCCACAAGCGAGAAGTGTGAGAAAAGGAAATATTAGAATAGAACTTATGGTTACATCTAGCTGATTCAACACTAAAACAATGAAAACTAATTGCCAATTTAATAGTATGCTTAAATTCAAGAGGTCGATGTACCAAGAAGGAAAGCTCATTGCCATGAAAATATTTCTAGAAAAGACACAGGGAATGTCATGCCTGTATGAAAGTGAAAGAAGTTGAGATGCCATGTCAGAATTGATAACATTGCAGGCCCTTCTTTGGATTTTGTTGAGAATCTCGAGATATATAACTGGAGCATCAGACCAGATATGGCAGCAGTATTCTGTGAGTGAATGAGTGATAGATTTATAAATATACAAGATAGATTCCAACAAGAAAAATTGTTCACAGTAAACCAACTTTCCTAGCAGCAGACCTAGCAATTCAGTTAATGCAATCATTTCGCTTCATGTCAGTGGAAAAGGTTAGACCAAAAAGGTGCATTGAATTGCTCTTCTGGAGGTTAGCATCAGCCATGCTGAAGAAAGGCAAAAAGTGTTCTCTAAAGTGGTATTAAAATTTACAAGACATTTTTTGCCCCAGTTAACAACCAATTGAAAATCATTTTCAAGATCAGCTGCTAGTTTTACTTTATCAGACCCATTGAATTTACTATTTATATTATAGAATAGATTCACTTGACCAAAAGCACTTTGCCAATTGAATAAATCTTATTTATTTAAAAAAAAAATGTGATAATTATGATGTGCAAGAAAGGCATACATTCATTCTTTTCTTCCCCCAACCTATGGGTTAAATAATAGAGTATATTAGGCTCTCTAGCTTTGATTTGTTTTTTTTTTTATGGATTATTAACCTTTTGTGGGTTATTTAAAGCTGAAATATATTTTGAGATTGTAAGAATATTTTGTTTTTATTTTTTTTCCCTATGTCAATATTACATTAACAATGTTTTTTTTTTCTTTGAGAATAACAGATACAAGTCCTACTATTAACATACTGTCTGGGTAAGGTGGGGGGAGGAGAGCAGAGAAAGATTCATTCCTTTCCCACGGATGCATAAGTGAATGTGACAAACACGGCTGGAATTCAGTTCTCTAGTTTCTCATTCCAATCCACTATCCATTACACCACCCACACATTTTTGTGGGGAGTGAAGTGGGTATGCCAATGAAATTATAACATGAGTCTTGAATTTTCTTTAGTTAATATTTTGTTCACTCCAATATTTCCTTAGTCACTCTTGGCCAGGCTGTGGTTCAAGCCTCCTTCACCTTACATTCTCCATCTGTATTTTTTTTTTCTTTTTTTTTTTTTTAAATTAAATTAAAAAAAATGCATGAAGAGGAGAAATAAAAATAATTGGAAATTAACTTTTACACTGACCATGTATTCAAGTATCTTGACAATGGCAAAAAAAACTAACATTTTGTTGCACTCTAATGGAGTGTGGTAAATAGAAAACCCAATAGGTGTTCACTATTTACATTATTGAGACTATTGTCTTCATCTTTGTCACCATATTTATTACGTTTCAGCCATTGTATGCTCTGGCCTTCTTCAGGTGGTTGGAATATCAAACTGAACCCTTTATTTCACTCACTGGGGTAGACTGTTCTAGTTCGACGTGCCATGTTTAATGGATGTCAGTTATCAGTTATCTCCTGTTAAATGTCTGAAACATTGTAATAAATATGGCGACAAAGATAAGGACAATAGTCCGAATAATGTAAATAGTGTACATAAGACCTCATCTCAGAAATATAGACAGATACCAATAGGTGTTATTTTCCATTTTTTTTTTTTTTATATCCAAGGGAATCTATCCCGCATGAAGGAAGGAACAAGGGAAAAGTCACTCACTAACCCTGAGTTTCTTATAGTAGGTCAAATTATCTCACTTAGCAGCCTGTTGACTAAAGAACAAAAAATATACATGCCCTAATTTATAACATCCATTTTCAGCTGAAGCAATGACAGAAGATTGGGGTGGTATTTGATTAAAAATTTAACAAAAAATATAGCCGATATATATGAAATGGTAAAGAAGTATGTAGATTTACAAAGAAAATAAGCAAAAACTCCTGAAGTAATATAGGAAAGCAAATGAAATTTAAACTTTGAGAAAACATCAAGCTGATTGGACCCAGAATTATACCCAATCACAATAATCGGATGTTCCTTCAGGTCAGGTAGGCCCTTGAGCAACTATTAGATTTTAAACTCAACCCAGATTTCAAGTTGAAATTGTACATACGATCCATCACTAAAGATGTTGGCAAAATGGTCAGTTCCCTTTACTGCTCCAGTAACTACCTGACTCCTTGCCCTATCCTCTACCTTTAACCGTCAGATAAGGCTGGAAAGAGAGTACTGTTGCCGTATATGGGTAGGAGCCACCCGTTCTTCACTTTCTCGTCTTGTTAGAATGCAAAATCATCTCGGAGTCTATTTGAGTGACAAATAATATTCCATCCTCTAATCTCTTTCTCACAGACAGGATATGACAAGCCTCTCACTGCTTTATCATTATTTCCATGGGAAGTATTCAGACGGATTATATTCCTTAGTTACACCAGTTCTTACCTGTGAAGTAAGACTTGCCATACGATGCACATTGTAGTTAAAATAAATTTTCTTTACTTTCAGATTGTAATTCCCAAATAGGATGTCAGAAATTCCAGGAGAAAGCTGATGAAGCAGCAGCAATCATATTTGTTCTCTCGAAAGCCTATACATCTAGTGGGAGATGTCTGCAACAGGTTTGTTTAACTTTTTCCTTTTTATCAAAGTCAAATGTTTTTAGTTATGATAAGCATATGGACTCAAGATTAACATAGTTCCTGGAACACTAGTTTAAGACAATTGGTTTATATTTTTTATAATAATGCCAGAATAATGCAAAATAATTAAAATGTGATTATATTTATCTCTAAAAAAAAATAATAATTTCTTTTAAAAAGCAAAAAAAAAATTCTTATATGTGGCTGGTGTAATGGATAGTGGCTCAGATTGAGAAATCAGAGAGCCAAGTTTGAATTCTAGTTGAGTTGGTTACATTCACTTATGCACAAATACTCTTGAGAAAGGTATGAACGCATGTCCTTCCCCCAGCTATGGATTAAATAGTAAGACTTGTATCTGGTAAAATCATTACTATTCTCAAAAAATTATTAATGCAATATTCACTCAGGCTTCAGAGGGCTGGAAGAATTAGAATTCCAAAAATAACATTTGGTTTTAAATAAACCACAAATAGGTGATAACCTGTAAAAAAAAAAATCAATAGTAATGAGCTTTTAATAAATAGAGCACTCTCTCTCACTCACTCATACATACACACAGACACACACACACACACGAAAAAAACTGAAATGCTTCATGGTGAATAAAATTCAAATAACTGTTGACAGTGGAGTAATGGATAGCAGCCTCAGATCGAGGAATCGGAGAGCCAAGTTCGAATTCCAGTCATGCTAATACCCTTGTGAAAGGTATGAATCCTCTTCTTCTCCCCTCAGCTATGAGTAAATAGGAGGACAGATCAGGCTCTGTAGCCTTGGATGGCAACTGGTCTACCATAGAAAGAAATGGCAACCTACTGCAGGAAAAAAAATCTGCCTCGTCAGTCATGTATTGAAAGATACATGATCGTCTAAGCATGTATCACGCATGGCATATAACTGACTAACTGATCTTATTTATCTTTAAATATGAAACATGAAAACATTTGAATCATTGTAAGAACTAATTTTTTGTCATAAACAAAACAAGAAAATTATACTTTTTCTGCTAATCTTTGGTTAAAAAAAATATTGATTAGTTGATTCCTTTTCTTTTTGGCTTATCAAGCCTATGCAGGTTATTTAAAGCCAGAAAATATGTTTTAGATTGTAAGAATTTAAATAATTTATTTTTATAATGGTTTAGTAATACAAGTTTTACTAATTAACTCGTAGCTAGGGGGAAGAAGGAACTCGGCTTTCCAGTTAACATTTCCAACCAATTATCTATGACACCACCGACATATCCAAGCTTACGGCACCTGGTATTCCAAGGTGGTTACCCATCTAGGTACTGAACAGGCTCAATATTGCTTAACTTGGTAATCATACAGAAACTGGTGTTTCAATATGACATGGTCGTAAACCTAAAAAATAATTATTTGAGTCATGAACAAATAACATGTATAGGCATGGTAGAATAATGGATAGCGGCTCAGATTGAGGAATTGGAGGCGGCAATGGAGTAATGGATAGTGTGCTCGATTGTGGAATTGGAGGAGGCAGGATGGAGTAATTAGTGGTGGATTTGGAGGAGGAGGATGGAGTAATGGATAGTGGCTCGGATGGAATTGGAGGAGGCAGGATGGAGTAATGGATAGTGGCTCGATTGTGGGAATTGGAGGAGGCAGGATGGAGTAATGGATAGTGGCGGATTGTGGAATTGGAGGAGGCAGGATGGGAGTAATGGATAGCGGCTCGGATTGAGGAATTGAGGAGGCACGATGGAGTAATGGATAGCGGCTGGATTGTGGAATTGGAGGAGGCAGGATGGAGTAATGGATAGTGGCTCGGATTGTGGAATTGGAGGAGGCAGGATGGAGTAATGGATGGTTCGATTGTGGAATTGGAGGAGGCACGATGGAGTAATGGATAGTGGCTCGGATTGTGGAATTGGAGGAGGCAGGATGGAGTAATGGATAGCGGCTTGGATTGAGGAATTGGAGGAGGCAGGATGGAGTAATGGATAGCGGCGGATTGTGGAATTGAGGAGGCAGGATGGAGTAATTGGGAGGAGGGCAGGATGGAGTAATGGATAGTGGCCTGGATTGTGGAATTGGAGGAGGCAGGATGGGATAATGGATAGTGGCTCGATTGTGGAATTGGAGGAGGGATGGAGTAATGGATAGTGGCTCGGATTGTGGAATTGAGGAGGCAGGATGGAGTAATGGATAGTGGCTCGGATTGAGGAATTGGAGGAGGCGGATGGAGTAATGGATAGCGGCTCGGATTGGAGGAATTGGAGGAGGCAGGATGGAGTAATGGATAGCGGCTCGGATTGAGGAATTGGAGGAGGCAGGATGGATAATGGATAGTGGTCGGATTGTGGAATTGGAGGAGGCAGGATGGAGTAATGGATAGTGGCTCGGATTGTGGAATTGGAGGAGGCAGGATGGAGTAATGGATAATTGGCTTGATTGTGGAATTGGAGGAGGCAGGATGGAGTAATGGATAGTGGCTCGGATTGTGGAATTGGAGGAGGCAGGATGGAGTAATGGATAGCGGCTCGGATTGAGGAATTGAGGAGGAATGATGGAGGAATGGAGGAGGCAGGATGGAATTGAGGAGGAGGATGGGAATGGATAGTGGGATGGATAATGGAGGAGGGATGGAGTAATGGATTGAGGGAATTGGAGGAGGCAGGATGGAGCAATGGATAGTGGCTCTGATTGTGGAATTGGAGGAGGCAGGATGGAGTAATGGATAGCGGCTCGGATTGAGGAATTGGAGGAGGCACGATGGAGTAATGGATAGTGGCTCGGATTGAGGAATTGGAGGAGGCAGGATGGAGTAATGGATAGCGGCTCGGATTGAGGAATTGGAGGAGGCACGATGGAGTAATGGATAGCGGCTCGGATTGAGGAATTGGAGGAGGCAGGATGGAGTAATGGATAGTGGCTCGGATTGTGGAATTGGAGGAGGCAGGATGGAGTAATGGATAGCGGCTCGGATTGAGGAATTGGAGGAGGCAGGATGGAGTAATGGATAGCGGCTCGGATTGAGGAATTGAGGAGGCAGGATGGAGTAATGGATAGTGGCTCGATTGTGGAATTGGAGGAGGGATGGAGTAATGGATAGTGGCTCGGATTGAGGAATTGAGGAGGCACGATGGAGTAATGGATGCTCGGATTGTGGAATTGGAGGAGGCAGGATGGAGTAATGGATAGTCGGATTGAGGGAGTAATGGGTAATGGATAGCGGCTCGGATTGAGGAATTGAGGAGGCACGATGGGTAATGGATAGCGGCTCGGATTGAGGAATTGGAGGAGGCAGGATGGAGTAATGGATAGTGGCTGGAATTGGAGGAGGCAGGATGGAGTAATGGATAGTGGCTGGATTGTGGAATTGGAGGAGGCAGGATGGAGTAATGGATAGCGGCTCGGATTGAGGGAATTGGAGAGGCATGGCGTCGGATTGAGGAATTGGAGGAGGCAGGATGGAGTAATGGATAGTGGCTCCCGGATTGTGGAATTGAGGAGGCAGGATGGAGTAATGGATAGCGGGATTGAGGAATTGGAGGAGGCACGATGGAGTAATGGATAGCTCGGATTGAGGAATTGGAGGAGGCAGGATGGAGTAATGGATAGTGGCTCGGATTGAGGAATTGGAGGAGGCAGGATGGAGTAATGGATAGTGGCTCGGATTGAGGAATTGGAGGAGGCAGGATGGAGTAATGGATAGCGGCTCGGATTGAGGAATGGAGGAGGCACATGGAGTAATGGATAGCGGTCGGATTGAGGAATTGGAGGAGGCAGGATGGAGTAATGGATATGGATTGAGGAATTGAGGAGGCAATGGCTCGGATTGTGGAATTGGAGGAGGCAGGATGGAGTAATGGATAGCGTGCTCGGATTGTGGAATTGGAGGAGGCAGGATGGAGTAATGGATAGCGGCTCGGATTGTGGAATTGGAGGAGGCAGGATGGAGTAATGGATAGCGGCTCGGATTGAGGAATGAGGAGGCAGGATGGAGCAATGGAGGCAGGATGGAATTGAGGTAGGATGGAGGATCGGATTGTGGAATTGGAGGAGGCAGGATGGAGTAATGGATAGTGGCTCGGATTGTGGAATTGGAGGAGGCAGGATGGAGTAATGGATGCAGGATGGATTGATAGGAAATCGGATGGAGGAAGAGGAGGATGGAGTAATGGATTGGCTCGATTGTGGAATTGGAGGAGGCAGGATGGAGTAATGGATAGTGGCTCGGATTGTGGAATTGGAGGAGGCAGGATGGAGTAATGGATAGTGGCTCGGATTGTGGAATTGAGGAGGCAGGATGGAGTAATGGATAGTGGCTCGGATTGTGGAATTGGAGGAGGCAGGATGGAGTAATGGATAGTGGCTCGGATTGTGGAATTGGAGGAGGCAGGATGGAGTAATGGATAGTGGCTCGGATTGTGGAATTGGAGGAGGCAGGATGGAGTAATGGATAGTGGCTCGGATTGTGGAATTGGAGGAGGCAGGATGGAGTAATGGATAGTGGCTCGGATTGTGGAATTGGAGGAGGCAGGATGGAGTAATGGATAGCGGCTCGGATTGTGGAATTGGAGGAGGCAGGATGGAGTAATGGATAGTGGCTCGGATTGAGGAATTGAGGAGGCAGGATGGAGTAATGGATGGATTGTGGAATTGGAGGAGGCAGGATGGGTAATGGATAGTGGCGGATTGTGGAATTGGAGGAGGCAGGATGGAGTAATGGAGGCTCGGATGGAATTGGAGGAGGCAGGATGGATAATGGATAGCGTTTCGGATTGTGGAATTGGAGGAGGCAGGATGGAGTAATGGATAGCGGCTCGGATTGTGGAATTGGAGGAGGCAGGATGGAGTAATGGATAGCGGCTCGGATTGTTGAGGTAAGCAGGATGGAGTAATGGATAGCGGCTCGGATTGAGGAATTGGAGGAGGCACGATGGAGTAATGGATAGCGGCTCGGATTGTGGAATTGGAGGAGGCAGGATGGAGTAATGGATAGTGGCTCGGATTGTGGAATTGGAGGAGGCAGGATGGAGTAATGGATAGTGGCTCGGATTGTGGAATTGGAGGAGGCAGGATGGAGTAATGGATAGTGGCTCGGATTGTGGAATTGGAGGAGGCAGGATGGAGTAATGGAGTGGCTGGATTGTGGAATTGGAGGAGGCAGGATGGAGTAATGGATAGTGGCTCGGATTGTGGAATTGGAGGAGGCAGGATGGAGTAATGGATAGTGGCTCGGATTGAGGAATTGGAGGAGGCACGATGGAGTAATGGATAGTGGCTCGGATTGTGGAATTGGAGGAGGCAGGATGGAGTAATGGATAGTGGCTGGGATTGTGGAATTGGAGGAGGCAGGATGGAGTAATGGATAGTGGCTCGGATTGTGGAATTGGAGGAGGGATGGGAGTAATGGAGTCGGATTGAGGAATTGGAGGAGGCAGGATGGAGTAATGGATAGTGGCTTGATTGTGGAATTGGAGGAGGCAGGATGGAGTAATGGATAGTGGCTCGGATTGAGGAATTGGAGGAGGCAGGATGGAGTAATGGATAGTGGCTCTGGATTGAGGAATTGGAGGAGGAAGGAGATGGAGTAATGGATAGCGGCGGATTGAGGAATTGGAGGAGGCAGGATGGAGTAATGGATAGCGGCTCGGATTGAGGAATTGGAGGAGGCAGGATGGAGTAATGGATATGGATAGGAATTGGAGGAGGCAGGATGGAGTAATGGATAGTGGTCGGATTGAGGAATTGGAGGAGGCAGGATGGAGTAATGGATAGCGGCTCGGGATTGGAATTAGGATGGAGTAATGGATAGCGGTCGGATTGAGGAATTGGAGGAGGCAGGATGGAGTAATGGATAGCGGCTCGATTGAGGAATTGGAGGAGGCACGATGGAGGGATATTGGATTGAGGAATTGGAGGAGGCAGGATGGAGTAATGGATAGTGGCTCGGATTGAGGAATTGGAGGAGGCAGGTAATGGATAGCAGGATTGAGGAATTGGAGGAGGCAGGATGGAGTAATGGATAGTGGCTCGGATTGAGGAATTGGAGGAGGCAGGATGGAGTAATGGATAGTGGGGATTGGAATTGGGAGGCATGATGGAGTAATGGATAGCGCTTGGATTGAGGAATTGGAAGGGATGGAGTAATGGGGCTCGGATTGAGGAATTGAGGAGGCAGGATGGAGTAATGGCTCGGATTGAGGAATTGGAGGAGGCAGGATGGAGTAATGGATAGCGGCTCGGATTGAGGAATTGGAGGAGGCAAGGATGGAGTAATGGATAGCGGCTCGGATTGAGGAATTGAGGAGGCACGATGGAGTAATGGATAGCGGCTCGGATTGGAGGAATTGGAGGAGGCACGATGAGTAATGGATAGCGGTTTCGATTGG